GTGGTTTACTTTTAAATTTGACTTCCTCGTATCTGTACATTGTTAAAAAGATATATGAGTGTTAAGTTTAAAAAACCCCATTTGGAATTAAAAATGTATTTGTACACATTAAATATTAATGTACCACCATATGCTTTCTTGTGAAATACTAGGAGTTTTTTTTTTATTCTGTCGCCTAATTTCCATGATATAATAGTAGTTTTTATAACATTATCTCTTTCTGGCTTTTTTTTTTCAGGTCAGACACAAAGTTTGATTCCAATTCAGGTATGTTTAGATTTACAGTATTATGCTGAACATATTGTATTAAGGTTATTCTCAAAAGTGTAATTTATCTGTTTGAGTTCAATTTTAATTTTAAGCAGACTGAGACAAGCCAGTCTTGAAAAGGATCTGTTTTATCACCACTTGAAAACATTTGCAGTGCTGAAGCCTTTGTTTTCATTTCCTTCATTCATTCACATCTTTTTTTTACTTTTGCTCTAGAGATGATCAGGAAGTCACATCGTGCAGTAGATTTTTACTGATTCATATTAAAACAGTAAAAAAAATAAATCTAAAACAAGTGGAGAGGAGGTGGAGTTTAGGATTGATCATTACCTAAAAGAAGAATATTTTTCTTCCTGGTAGACAAAGACATTTCATGGGAATTTAAAGTCTGTGCAAGCCTATATGTCAGGAAGCAGGTGATTTGTCATCAAATTTTCTTGACAGATGCATGTACACAATGTGTGCCAGACAAGGCAGCAGACTTTTGGAGGTTTACCAAAAGGTGATATCTCTAAACTTGTCTTTTTAAAGAATTTTAATGTATTATGGGGGGAGGGAACTGAAGGTCAGTCTGACAAGTTAATGTGTATTTAACCAGAAAAAAAGCCCAGTACAGCAAACAGGAGAACTGTTTTCTCTAAATCAGGATGCTAAAATCAGAATGCCACTTGTTCAGCTGCCTAAATGTGGTTGTTCATTGAACTGGTAAAAGAGCATATTTGTAAAAAGTAAATTAGAAAAAATAACTATGTTCCTTTAGTTCTGGAACATGCTGAAATGTGTATCATTTGAAACAGTCATTCAAAAACACACACCTTTCGTTAAGAAGAAAAATGTATTTTTTAATAGAAAAACTATTTGTAGCATAGCTTTGCAATTAGGTTAGTGTTGCACTGTGTGAAGTGGTTAATGTTCATTTTTGGAATTATGAAAATATTACAGGGTGTATGCACCGAGTCTAGGAAACAGGTGCCATAATCCAAAATTGAATAGTGAAGTGCTATATTTTTTTCTTTGTTTTATATTGAATTGTATCTTAAGAGAGCTACATAGGTGAGAAATGTATTGAAGGAAGCATTTGCAGAACCAGTTCTTAATTCATTTATGATTAAGTCATGCTCTTTCTATTGTAATTGTAATCTTTGCATTTGGGGTTATTAGTAGCAGTTATTAAGTGAATTAAATTCTAATTTTGGTACCCAGGCCTTGTGAAATGCAGGTATGAGGTAATAGGATCATTATAAACAGTTTCTGCTGTGACTTTTATAAGAAAACAAGAAAGTGGCTCGAAAGAAATTGCCAAATATTTCTTTTCCTTATTGCCTTATTGGAATTGAAATGGGTTTTTAAAAAAAACTTCTTTTCAGTGTATGCTAAGCTGTGAACAGGGACTCCTGTTTCTATATGTCGTCATGCTTTTCTGGTGAAATCTTAACTCGTTTCTGACATCCAGTGTTTATGATGCCTTTTTCCTTTGAGAGACTACATAGGGAGTCAAAGGAAAGGGTAGTATTCCACAGCATGTGGAGTCAAAGGAAAGGGTAGTATTCCACAGCATGTGGAATATTCATGAAATTTAATACTTGGCAGCCCTGGTAAAATACTATCCGCTGGTCCTCAAATGGGCTGATGTGTTTGGGTCTCAAACATTTAAACTTCCCTTGGTCTGGTTAGACTTTGCACTATTTCATTCTTTTGCAGTCTGGTACACTTCAAGCACACGTCTCTGTTGACTCTTCACATACATGGGCCCTGGTGCTCTGCCGCCCTGGTTTCTAGGCAAGTATTTGATTCAGCTTCGGATTCAGCCAATTCAGAGGAAAAGTGATTCAATTAGTTGATTAGAATCACTGTCCTAATTTTGATTCGGATTTGGAGATTCGGCCATCGAATTGGGCTGAATCTCCTTTGAATAGAATAGGCAGCAGCAGCAGACTTAAAAAAAAAGCAAAAAAAAAGCCCTGCACTCACTGGATGCAGCAGGACCAATCGGGGCCTCTGGGGGCTCATGGCAGAGCCCCCCTGTGTAGTCCGAGGCAGCGGGGATCAGCTCTCCCCCCATGGGGCATCTGTCAGATCGCATAGGTGCGGCACAACTCTGCAAGGCGCCGCAGGGCTCTGCATGCTGTCTGGGAGGTGGGGCTGCTCAGGCTGAGTGCTGCCAGGTTCTTGGTGACTGCTGGAGCTGCCCCAGCTCTGGGACTGTGTGCAGCACCTTGCCAAGCTGCACTGCACCTGCACAATGTGACAGCTGCCACGCGGGTGCCGGG